GAATATTAATAGATTATAATATGTGAATATAAATATATTTTATTATTATTAAAATAAATCGAAGATCTCCGGAGTTTTTTAATGATGATAGAGATTTTCCGGAGGTCTACATCCAAAGATCTTCAGAGATCTTTGTTAAAAAATTTCCTAATATAGGTGAAATTGTTCCCAATTCTCTTTTAATATGAAACCATATATTAAATTACTGTCTAAAAAAGGAAGATGATATACAAATGTAGATTTTTGGGGTAAGCTTCCTGATACAATCTGGTGTGTCAATATTATAGCAGATAACATTAATTATCACAGAAACTTTACAGCTAAGATATTTGTGTTGAAATGGTGTGGTACAGCCTATATTCATATGGATGGTGCTTGTTATTATAAACGTCGTGTAAAACAAGTATCAACATCAAGCGCAAGAAAATCAGTACTTGCTGATTAGCTAATGAAAAAAAAATATTTCTATTTCTAAATAAGCAAATAAAGCAGAACTCTATAAACTAATTAAATACAATAAATCTGAAGTTCCTTTTGCATGTATTGAGATAGCTAGAAAGTATAGACATACAGTGGCCTACTATATTATTGTGGACAATTTTTTTTTCTTAATTACTCAAAAATGAACAAATAAATGTGATACAATTTTTTTTATCACTTATTTTATGAATGTCGAAGTATATTATATTAAATTTTTATATTATTTTATTTAGTCACTCAAAAGTTATGTAGGAAAGCTTGCAAAGTTACTTTTTTCTATTGAATCGAGTTTTTTTTTTTTTTTTTTTTTTTTTTTAAAAAAATTTTTTTAATAAAAAAACTAAACTAACTACATTCTAGTATTTCATGGGTTCCCCCTTAACTCTAATGCATGCAGCGACCTGGTCAGGCATGCTCGTGATCAGCTTACAACAATATTCTGGTGGTATATCATATCATGCTTGTTTAACAAGAATGTCGAGCTGATCGAGATTACTTGGTTTTAGCTTGCGAAATACCAATTTTTTCACCTCCACCCAAAGATTCTCGATGGGATTGAGATCAGGACTTTGCGGTAGCCAATTTATTATACGAATCTGATTCTTTCTAATGAATTGTATAGCTATCTTGTGGTATGCGATCTTGCGTTATTCTGCTGAAAGAATGGGTAACAATCCTTACGACCTTGAAAATTTTCTAAGGCTAGTAAAATATATCTTTGAAGAGTATCGATGTGCGATGCTCCGATGATGATAAAATTTAATGGAATGAGAGGCCCAACACCATAACAGGAGAAGCAATCCCAATATATATGGCCTGGGTTACGCTTGACAGTATTGCTTAGACACTCAATATCCCACTTTTCATGTGATTCCCATTAAGCTCAACCAGGGAAACCAAAAAAAAGACAAACAGTAATTTCATCGGATCACAAAATGTGGTGAAACTTTCTAATGGACCAATCTTTATAGGCAAGATACCAGTTAAGTCTCTTCTTTGCATTTTCAGAAGAGACTAATGATTTTGGATGGATAACACAAGATCGCAAGTTTTTATCATACAAGGCACGATGAATGGTACTTTTAGAGACAGGGTGTTTGTTTTTTCTTTTTTGGTTATTAAAAAGGTTAATAATTTAGGCTAGGTTAAGGCAACGGTTGCCGTTGATGACCATACTCTTGAGATTGGCACGATCGATGGGAGTGAGAATCTTGAGGTATCCAGCTTGATTTTTTTGAAGGGCTTCCAAAGCACCCAACTCACAAAACTTTTTTATAACATTATATACAGAAGACCTTCCGCAACCAACAGCTGCTGCAATGGCACGAATTGTGTCTTTCTTTAGATAACCATAAATTATAGAACCCTTTTGCCCTTCAGTCAAGTCCTTCTTGCTACCCATCATTTGAGACAATCCATCTTGCCATAACTTATCCATAAAAAAAAAAAGATCAATTTATATACTAGTGTCATTGTGAATATATGTCTTTTTTGATATTCTTTAGGTGATACGGAATATTCTAGAGAAATTTGATGCGAAACTTTGAAGCGACACTAAAAAAAAAACTAGTTCTATCTCAAAAAAGTAGATTGACATGTTTTTTACATAACTTTTGAGTGACTAAATAAAGAGATGTAAAAATTTAATATAATATACTTTGTCATTTATAAAATAAGTGGTAAAAAAATTGTATTATATTTATTTGCCCATTTTTGAGTAATTGAGAAAAAAAAATTGTTCACAATAATATGGTAGGCCACTGTACTCTATTGTACACACCTTCTTATCATTGCGAACTTCAACCTATTGAAGGAGTATGGGCTGTAGTGAAGAATGAAGTTGTCAAATCAGCTCCACATTCAGATCTTCTTTTAATTAGAAATAAATTATTGCATTCTTTTAATGAAAAAATAAATTCTAAAACAATTCTTGGATTATGAAGAAGGTCACTTAATATAGCAAAAAAATATAATGATATAGATGATGATATTGAATTTGCTGAGATTGATTCTGATGATGATGAATTACAAAATTTTAATGAAAATGATGACTTTTAATAATAAACTTATAATAAAATTATATTACAAAGTATCCGAAAACCATAAAAATAAAATAATATTTTTATTATATTTTTATTTATTTTTTTTGATAAAGTTTTTCAAATAGTATTTGAGGTATCAAACTTTTGGCTCTGCCCTATACCATATTTGTTTTTCATATAAATAACCATGTCCGACAACATTACAAGTACTTCTACAGCTGATCTCCCGACAGTTGAAGAAATTAATGGATGGAGTCGAGATAGGGTTAAGGAATTTTTGCAAGAAAGGAGAGCTGAATTAAATCTTGAGGACGAAGATATCAATATAATATATAATCAGAGAGTCAGGGGTGATATCTTCCCTAAACTAACCGAAGTAACTCTTGAAAGGTGGGGGATACCAGGTGGACCGGCTATAGCAATCGCAGAATTGGTTAAACGAGTTAAAAGAGGTAAACTTCATTTTCGCTCACACTGTGTCAATATTCGCCAATAATACCGAATACTTATTTATTCTTGTACTTTTCTTTCTGCTTCTTATCGTCAAACCCGCAAAAAAACACATTCGCGTTATCGTAGAGCAACCCGTTGCCTCTGGTAAGTAAGCCGTAATAAATTTGGTCAGTGCGAGTGAACGTAATGTTTTTTTGCCGTCACTTTTTAACGTGTGTATGACTATTTTCCATTTTATTCAGAACAATATATCAAGGAAAATAAGGATTTGAAATATCATATATTCTATCTTGAGTTAGCCAATACAAGAAATTCTGCCTCTGTGTACAGACATGTGAGAGAACGTGGAGAAGTCCAACTTTGGAAAATTGAGGAGGATATCACACCACTAGAAGAGGCTATAAACGATGTATTTAATCAATATCGTAATGCTCCTGCTCAAGGATTAAGTGAAATTAATGTAAACCGACCATTTTGTAAGAATTTTGTGAGTGAAATCGTAAATCAGATAGAAAGAAATGACTTACTTGTAGTTGGAGATAATGGCGACCGGAGAGAAGATGAAGTTTTCCCTGATATCATAATTGGTCCTGTCGGTTTCTACGCAAAATTGACAAAAAACCCACCTGATTTATCAAAGGGTTTGGGTTGGGAAGTCAAGAATA